TGATCGGGTGCTGGGGAGGAGTCTAGCACACACAGCATTTTCTGTGTCTCACGGTGACATCATCCAGCATCATGTCCCCACTGGAACCTCACAGTTGCTGCAAGGGTCACTTTGAGTCTGTTCCCCAGGCTAGGGTGGAGGCCCAGGTCTTCCACAACCTTAACCTTGGGATGGGCAGTGTGCAAGTTCCAGGATGTCAGCTTTTCTTCTTGAAACAAGAATGAGAAAAGATGTCTCCTGGACACCTCAGGCTGGGAGGACTCCTGACTCAAGGCTGGATCAGTGCCGGGAGGCCCTTGATAAGTCCTTGAAGTAAAAACTAGGTATAGTGTCACTGCAGGGGTACAGCTGGAGGAGGTCTCAAAAAAGTTTATTGAGAGTTCACCATTCCTGCAATACGCCTTCCTGAATATTCTCTCGCTTGACCCTCACATCTACCTGGAGGAACGCAGATTACTTCTCTAACCCCATTGGTCATAGGAGGAAACGGGGGTCAAAGAGAGCAAGTGACTCGCCCTGGGTCACACAGCTAGTGAGTGACAAAACCAGGACTTAAAGCCAGATCACCATGGGACCCTTTCACCTTGCTCTCTCCACATCAGGAAGCCCAAGTTACTCTGGAAATGAGGACACATACAAACCTGGTAACATAGTTTTTACCCCAAAGCCTCTCAGGTCTAAGACCTCTGTCCTGGGTCATTTCCCATCTCCTCCCAAGCTGCTTCCTCCTCCTCCTCCTCCTCTTCTTCTTCTTCTTCGACAGGGACTGGCCTCAAACTCCCAGAGATCTGCCTGTTTCTGCCTCCCCAGGGCTGAGATTAAAGGCTCGTGCCACTACCACCCGGCTCCTTCCAAGCTTCTTTAGCTCACACACCAAATCAAATATCTCCAGCTTTAACATGTAAAGCAAAGGCTAAGAGTCTGGCTGCTCTCTTCTGTAATAGTGTTCTCAGGGTCAACCCCTTCTCCCTTGCAGGTTGGTACATCTGGTGAAATATTTTCCAGAGTCCTTCTGATAACGTGTATTGTAGTAGGACAGGCCCATAGGGTTGAGGAAATTGGCTCAGACCAGTTGCCAAGGCATGCACATAACATACTTCCTTATGAGCCAACCTGAAGTCGGCCTGAGGACCTAGCAACAGGCGCTGTCAGAGTTCCTGATCACTGTCAGAGTTCTTGAGCATGCCCAGCCAATGGGGGACAACCATACAATGCCACCAGATTGGGACATAGACTGGGTGCTGGGAGGAGGGTATCATTGAATAAACAAGTTTGTTGTTTGCCTTCAACTGACTCCCAGTGTCTGTGCTGTTGACACTGTGCCTTCTCACCCCCTCCCCCAAGGGAGCCATTAGGATCCAGCAACAGTGTATAAATGACCTGCACAAGGAGAAACAATGTTGCCACAGTTGCTGGGCCCAGGAGACTAGGAAGCATCAGCAACACCTAGGAGCACTTGCCAGGGTATCACTCGCTGCCATCCGAGAGCCCAGGAGGACCCAGGGCATTTGGAGCTGCAAAGGAACATTCTCCAACTATGAGATGAGCTCAGCTACTGAGACACTGAATATAGTCTTAGTGCCATACAGAAGTCAACTTCGACAACAAAATCCTTCCTAATCCTCCCTTCACCTGCCATGACCAGAAGCAGGTGCTTCTATGGCCACAGATGGGATGAAGACAGCTGAAAGGAACAGGAGTCAGGGCCTGGCATGTCTTCTAGTGCCAGCCCCTTTAGCAGACATTAAAGGAAGCACCAGACCAGACAACAGCTGCTGAAGAGGGCACTGGGAACAGTGACCATTAAAACTGCAAGTAAGGGGCTGGGCAAATGACTCTGCGGGTAAGAGCGATGGTTCTGCAAACATTGAGGACCCGAGTTCAAATCCTCAGGACCCAAGTAAAAAGCTGGGTGTAGTCATGCACCCTTGTAACCCTAGTACTGTGCAGAGCAGGAACAGGGGGTTCAGTGGGGTCTGCTGGCTGCCAGCCCAACTCCAGTTTCAGGGAGAGAACCTGTTTCGAGGAAATAAGGCAGGACACTGGATGTTCTCCTCTGGCCTCCACACACAGAGGCACATGCACGCATGTGTACATATACTGAACACATACATGTGCACACACACACATTATACACATGTGGTGACACACATCTATAAACCCACACATCTGTCAAAGCAGCACTTCATAGGCTGAGCCAGGAGTGTCATGAGGTCTAGACCAACCTGAACTACAGTAGTGAGATGCTGTGTGAGAAAAACACTGACAAATAAACAAGTTCTGAAAATGAACAAGAGGACAATAACCCTTATGACCAACCCTGGGCAAGCCTACTGCCCAGTGAGGACTCAAATGCCAAAAACTTCTGATCAGTCCAACAAGAGTCACCAAGTCCAAGCAAAAACCTTCAGAATTCCTCCTCTAGGAAGTCCTCCCCCAGGATGTCCTCCTCTCCCCTGGGAAGTCCTCCCCTCCCCAGAAGTCCTCCTCCTTTAGGAAATCCTCCTTGGAGGTCAGCAAGTGTGGTCTGAGCACGGTCTTTGAAAACTTGGCTCTTTTCTAATTTCATAAACCCTTAGGGTTCCTCAGCTAGACATCCCGACCACAACGAGGCAACCTGGAAGTGGAGGAGGAGACAAAAACTGTGGGCAGCTAGAACTCAACAATCACGGCAAGTCCGGGAGCACCTGCGTGGGGACTGATATTACCCATGGTGCACCTGCACTCACAAGATGACCACTCGCGCATATAAATACTGGCTGATCGTGAGCCCTGGTTCGAAGAGCTGGAGACAAGGCAGAAGCATCTTATACCCCAAATGCTGGGGTTCCACAAACAGGGGAAGACCATTTTTCCCAGCAGTTAAAGAAACACCAATTGAAACCATAAGATACTGATTTATAACTATAAAGATGAATAAAGAAAGAGGTGCTTTTTTAAACAAATGACCCACGGCCACCAAGGCTGAAGGCAAACAGAAACACTGCCCAGTCCCTGCATCCTTTGGAAGTGAAGTCACCAAGAGCCTGTACCTGCCCACCTTTAATTTAACCCTCCACTCCTGGAGATTCAGCTGAAATAACTAATTCAAAAGAAAAGGAGAAAACATTGGGAAGAAAGTTTTTTGCCAGTAAAATTTGGAATAGGTAACAGCTGTAAAATTATAAGCAAATGTCCAGCAATAGAGAAACACTGTTGTGCAATTTAATGAAACATGATATAGTTATTAAAATGGAAAAAAGGGCTATATATGGAATTTTGTTAGTTGGAGATTTTGAAAAAGTAGGACAGGAAATTGTAAAATTATATACAAAGCGATAAAGATTAAGAGGAACCACGGAGAAACAAAGTAGCTGTGTTTGGACAGGAGAATTACAGATCCGTTCCCTGCAGTTCCTGTGGGGTTTGGGATGAAAGGGGGTGATAATAAATAGCCATTTGAAGAAGTGACTCTGGCCTTCCCAGGAAGATGGGCTTGTCACTATCTGCTGGGAATCAGGATGCTAACCAGTGACCTTTCACCTTGGTGCACACCATGTGGAGTGTCCATGTGACTGACCATCCCTGGGGAAGAAGGTGGTCTTCATCAGGCTCCTGTCTGGGTCAGGGAGGCACAGCCAATAACTAGTTCATTTTACCAAGGGGCCCATGGGTGAAACACAGAGGACACCGGACCCTAGGGAAGGCATGGGCAACTCCATGCAGTTCAACACAGAGGTTGATAATTCAAGAACCAAATGTGAGAGGATGCAAATTCCCTTCTGCTAGATAAATTTCTATCTTGCCAATATGCAGGTGAGTCTCAGATTAGAGCAATCTCAAATGTCAGGTGGTCCACTTAATCTGGAGGCAGGTTAAGGAGACTTTCTGGTTCACAAGTGACTTGCCCACAGTCACAAAATCAAGAATTTCTGGGGCAGACACCCCACTCCTCTGCTGATGGACAGATGTGTACTACATGCTCATGAGGCTCAGAATACTCTTATCATGGGGTCTTGCTGAGTGGCTGGATAAGGCTATTGTCACTTGTGACTCTACTACCCACCAGGCCCCACTTGCTCATTCCATGGAGACTCATTCAGGAGGACATCAGAGTGGCCAACCAAGCTGGAGTCTTAGTGTCACCTAAGTAAATTCCACCAACCACCGTGAAGTCCCTCCCAGCAAGGCCATCACAAGGCTGTACCACCTCGTGTGCATGGCTATCTGAACAAGCTGTTTAGATGGCAGTCTCAGCCTTGCCACTTCCCAGTGATAGGATGTTGACTTCTTGGTGCTCTGATCTGTAAAATGAGTATCCTAAGAGTCTCTGTGGTTGTATCACTATGAGGGTGAAGTAAGGTCAACAGAATGAATATAAAATCACCTTTCTGAGTTAGTAAGACTCCCTAAAGCCAGGACTGAGCAAGACGACAAACGCTAGGCATCTTGCAAATGCAGGGGCATAGCTGGGCTCTTTAAACAGTTGCTATTGACCAGAGAGTGGGTAAAAAACAGCTACCACTGTGATAACACAAGTGTTGAACACAGTGCCCGTGTAGCGGATTCTCCCCAGGGAAGGGCTAGAGAAGGGTTCTGGAAGAGCTGAAAGGATGTTCATCTTCCTCTCTTTAAGACAGACCCCTCTCTGCTACCCACATCTGCTACAGCATCTGCTACCCACACTACCCTCTGTTCCTTCTCACCCTCATAAATGCTCCTCTGGCCAGAAAGAAGCCAGAAACTCTGGTTTCTTTGATCTCCAAGACCCAATGAAAGCAAGAGTTAGGCCATCCCTCGCTATCCTTGCCACTTGGCAAGCTCACCCCTCTCCTTTGGCCCCATTTTAGGAGGAGGATGGAATAACCGAGGCAGAGGGAAACTGCCTACCACTAACTGCATCTCCTCTGGGCTGAGCTTTGGTCGCCCTGGGGGCCTGTGGCCAGGGCTTCCACCACCCTGACCTATCTCTGCTGCCCACCCTACGTCCCCCCCATCATGGGTCCTGGGGCCCCACTCACAGCTCGAGGATGAGCACCACGTCGGTGCGGTTCTCATAGACGTCGTGCAGCGTGATGATGTTAGGGTGCAGCACCTGCCGCAGGATGCTCACCTCCCGCTCGATTTCCTCCCGGCACACGCCCCGACGGCTGGCCCGGCTCTGCCTCTTCTTGATGAACTTGGCTGCATACTCCAGCCCTGTGCTCTTCTCCCGGCACTTCTTCACGATGGCAAATTGGCCGCTGTGGGGACACGGACCCACACAATTAAGGTGTAGCCACTGGAGGAGTGACCCTCACAGCCAGCTACCAAGACAATCACCGAGTTATTCTACCAAGACAGAAAGGCATGTCACTGGCTGGTGGCCCTGCCTGGCTGACACGCAGTGACTGAGATAGGGCAGGGACTGGGATTCCCTTCTATTACTACGAGACCCTGATATTTTACTAGGAAAGGATGTTAAAGTTATTGCTGGTATACAAAGGTGAACACCAAGACCCTGGCAAGTGCTGACTTGGTTAGGATGACACGGCCTTGTCCCTGCAAAGCCTCAGCTAGAACCCAAGTCCGAACTACCAGCTACAGTCACAATGTCCATAAACAGGTGGGGTTGGTAAGAATCCTGACTGGGATGGGGTTAGGGTAAAGGCCACTTACCAGGGTTAGTCACCATCACAGTGTGAACAGGGAGTTGTAAAATTTGGAAACTGGGGCACAAGGAGAGGTCAAGTGACTCACGACACAATGACAAAGCCAGACATCAAAGCCAGCTGCCCACAACGCTTCCCAGATAGTTACAGGAGACACGACCCCGCTCAGGCTCCTTGAGACAGAGACCATGAAATGGTGTCCATGCCACAGATCCAAGCAGCCCTGGGCCAGCTTCCCTGGGTGCTCTGAGGACAACCCATGCTTCTTCATCTCAATCCAGGCCCCGAGCTGGGACAGATCTAAATCCCTGGTGATTGCTAGTGTCCCCTCCTTCCCCTCTGAGGTCCTCCCTCTCACCTTCCGCATTGCCCTATGTTCCTCCACCTTCCCTCAAGTACCCACTGCTTGGGTAACTCAGAAAGGTTTCTTATTCTGATTAACGGCTTAATAAGGGGCCTGCTGGATCCAGAGCCCAGATATGCTTCCTTAGTGGATCTGGGGTAAGAGTTACAGTTGTGAGAAACCGGGTGTTTGTCCCGACCTCAGAAAATGGCACTGCATCTAGAGTATTCTATTGCCAGATGAAACTTTAAAGGGACGGTCTTCTAAATAAACTGGCTGATGTAAATAAAGTAAAGCTGAGCAAGCAAGCGGACAGCCAAGAGCGAAACAGCCTCCTACGACAAGCACTTGAGAGACGCCATCCCTCCACCTTCGCCCTTCACTCAACACTGTCCGAACACGTGCCCGGTGCTGGCTGGTAAATAACAGGGAACAAAGGCAGAGACAGCAGGTGCAGAGGGAGCCCTGGGGGAGAGGAGGTCCGTAGGAGCTAGGCTTGGGGCCAAATTTACATTACACCGTCCACTAACTCTAAGGTCTCAGCTGTCCAGGCTCCAAGTGTTAGCTCTGAGCTGTCCACACACAAGGGTCTGATGGAAGCGGAAGAAGGGCAGAGTGAGCATATTCAATGTGACTTCTAACACAGATGCCACTTGGAGCCACTCTGGGTCTTGGGGACATAAGGTCCCTGAGTGGGTGCCAGCAAACACTTAACAAAGCTTTGGGTCAGCACCAGGGCAGCAGATTCCTCTCCTCCCGGTACCTGCTGGCAGGCCTGGCATTTCAGAGTTCCTGTGACTGTCCCCCCACAATCCCGAGTGAGTTGATTGATGGAGAAAGTGAAACTCAAGGATTTTCAGTTGTATGCATGCTGGTGGTGGTACAGGGTTAGGTCTGACACACACACACACACACACACACACACACAGCCCCAGTTCCCAGCTTCAAGCTGCACTGACTATATCATGACCTGGGAAGATACAAACATGATGTTGTAAAACAGAGCCAAAGGTTTCAGATCGCCTTAATGTAGCATCTCCTTGGTCTTATGAAGGGAATGGAGCTGTCTTTCTGTCACATAACCGAAAAATTCCTCAAGCTCTCAAAAAGCAAGCGAGTGTTTGCTTTGGGCTCTTACTTTCGCCAGGATAAGGGTGAGAATGGAGAGTGGGGCAGACCTAATCCTCCTCCCTCCAAAGGGAGGCACTCCAAGAGTGGATAGCTAGGATGGAGGCGAACACCAGGCATCTTGTGGCCTTTCTTCTCTCAGGAAGGGCCCCCTGCTCAGGCTTTGGGGGTAGCCAGAAGGAGAGCCATAGCCTCGGGCTGCCTTCCCCTGGCCTTTGGCTGTTTCAGGAAGAGCAGAGAAAACTTTCCACTAGGCCCATAATGCGGTGGGTGGGAGGTAGGCAGGCAACTGGGACAGGTCTCAAGGTTAGGCAGACCTGCTCCAGGGCCCTCTTTCTGCACTCATGTGGGCCAGGCACTACCTGCTCTGAGTATCCATGTCCTGACCTGTGAAACGGGAGTCATGATTCACGGCTAGACCGTTGTAAAGGAAACATCTGTAAGGTTGGCTTGCCGTCAGCAGTAACAGCTGGCGTAGACGAGGACTGAATGAGAGATACCCAGGACTGGAAGTCACTGCTTCAAACGGTCTGGAAGGTGTGGCCAAAGGCTAATTTTAAACGTGCCCTTTCCCCTGACTCCAGCGCACACCCAGATGTGCACATACTTCTACTCTACGCAATTCATTGACTCTTTCAGTTCCAGAGCAGCAGGTCGCAACCCTGGCAGCATTCTAGAACCCTCCTGGGAATTTTAAAATGAAGGAGATCTAGATTTCAAGTCCAGAGACTGAGTTATCTGGGCTGCGGCCAGGAGACGAAGATATTTAACTTTTTGTCTTATTCTGGTTTGGTTTTGTTTTTATAGAGAGCCTCACTATGTAGTTTAGGCAGGCCTTAAACTCCTGATCCCCCTGGCCTAGCCTCCCCAGTGCTGGGATGACAGGCATGCACCCCTGTGCCCAGCCCCTTGGTGACCCTCTTAGACAGCTATGCTGGGAACCGTGACTTAGAACAGCTTCCTTTGCAGGTAAAGCACCCCATTAGGGTCACTGTTATCACTGGCTGGCCTTCCTGGTGTCACATTCCCTGGGAGGTCTTCTTTAATCTAACCATACTATTTAGGGAGACGGGGAATCACATGGGAAAGGACCATCAGGTTCTGCTTGAGGGAGTTGTGGATATAACTGCTGGGATAGTAATCTACACATCAAGACAGACAGTGTCGTTGGTTTTCAGCAGCCCCTGTGAAAGGTATGCTTCTACCGCCTTTGTCCTTATCAGCAAAGTCAAAGTGTTGTAGAAGAGATTAACAGCCTCTTTATGTCTTCTGGCTTTATGCAAACTGTGGTCAATATGTTGATGAACAGTGTGTGTGTGTGTGTGTGTGTGTGTGTGTGTGTGTGTAAGCCATAAATCTGAGAGAGAGCCCTAGGGAGGGAAGAGGGAAAGGGAGGTGTTACAGGGAGAAGACAGGGATGGAAAACAATGTAAATTAAATTTTTTTCTTTGATTTTTTTTTGAGACAAGGTTTCTTACCCCCCCAAACACTCAGTACCTGTTAGAACAGGGCAGGCTGCAAAGATGTCAGGTCACTAGCAGATAGGCCTGGTTCCAGAACTTGCCTAGGCCTAGTTCCAGAACTCTCCTGGGCCTGGTAGCAACTCACAAGGGCTCCCCTGTTATCTGCCTAGGAACCCCATTTAAAGGAGTATATTTTTAGATAGTGTCTCAGGGTTTGTTAATGTCCCAACCCCAACACCCAGCACTGCATGGAAAAACCTGACTCAACCCTCTCAAACTCTTCACTGCCAAGAGAGAATAATCCCCAAATGGCCCAAATATCACACCATGAGATAGATTCATAAAGCTATGGGGATGTTGTTACACATGCAGCTATTCTCTTTAAAGGCTAATTTTATAGTCATTCTCTATATATTTATATGCATTATACATATATATTTATATGCATATATATATACACATATATATATTTGAAGACACAATCTTCGCTCCATTTTCTAGATTAGAATATTGAGGGAGCCGGCAAGATGGTTCAATGGATAAAGGCTTGCTGTGCAGGCCTAAGGATTTGAAGTTGAATCCCTGGAACCCACAGAAATGTGGAAGGAGAGAACTGACCCTCTGTCTTCTGACTTCCACACGCATGCCCACACACACATCTCATACACACACAGTAATAATAAATAAAACCTGGGGGTTGAAGCCATGGGTAAAGGTGCTTGCTGTTAGGTCTCAAAGAAACCCCAGACACGATTCACTGGGACCTGTGGCTCCTCCCAGCCCTACTCACCCCACCCCCTACCCTAAACCTCTCCCTCCCAGGGGCTGGGTTCAGCTTCCCTTCTCCCTGCCTGATTCCTCTATAGCTCAGCCATTTGGGTTATGCATTTTTCTGGTTTCCTGGTTTGCTATTGGTCTCTTGGTTCCCAGGTGCTCTCTTTGCTCCCTCTCTCCTCTCCGCTCTCATCTCCGCACCCACGCCCCGGTTCAGTCTGGACCCTTCCAGATGCCTCTGGCTATACTCTCCCTTGCTGTGGAATGGTCTGTATGTCAAATGTGTTGCTCTGATTGGTCAATAAATAAAACACTGATTGGCCAGTAGCCAGGCAGGAAGTATAGGCGGGACTAACAGAGAGGAGAACTAGCCGGGCGGTGGTGGCGCACGCCTTTAATCCCAGCACTCGGGAGGCAGAGCCAGGCGGATCTCTGTGAGTTCGAGGCCAGCCTGGTCTCCAAAGCGAGTTCCAGGAAAGGCGCAGAGCTACACAGAGAAACCCTGTCTCGAAAAACCAAAAAAAAGCAAAAACAGAGAGGAGAACTGAGAGAATAGGAAGGCGGAGGGAGACACTGCCAGCGGCCGCCATGACAAGCAGCATGTGAAGATGCCGGTAAGCCACGAGCCACGTGGCAAGGTATAGATTTGTAGAAATGGATTAATTTAAGATATAAGAACAGTTAGCAAGAAGCCTGCCACGGCCATACAGTTTGTAAGCAATATAAGTCTCTGTGTTTACTTGGTTGGGTCTGAGCAGCTGTGGGACTGGCGGGTGACAGAGATTTGTCCTGACTGTGGGCCAGGCAGGAAAACTCTAGCTACACTCCCTCACGTCTACAATAAACCTCAACTTCACCTTGGGGCGGGTGTGTCCCGATTTCCA